TTTTGTTAGTGGCTGTATCATTTTGCGACGTTGGAAAAGCACCCTTTATTGAAAAATTGACCAAAAAAATGTTAGTGTTTTCGAGCTGGAATTTGGTGGTAATGTGCGGATTGCAATTCGATTTGACACATTTTTACTCTAGCAGTTTTTCAGAAACATCATATACTGTGAGTTTTTGGGAAAATTAGAGGTGGTGTATCATTTTGCGACGCACTGTACAATTGGTAAGAAAGACAACGACATCCTGCCGCCTGTGCTGCTATCAAATTTGAATGCTGTAGGACCAGTTAATCTGGAGTTTCGAATTCCCGGTCAACGAGCACACACACGTACACACAAACACATCAACAGGCACACTCAACGTATTATATACTAATTTAGACTTAGACTTAGTTCCTCCCATGCCGTTGGGCGTATAGGGCAATGAAATCTTTCCACTGTTGCCGGTCCTGTGCAAGGCCTTCTCCTTCGTCCCTGGGAACATTCATGACTTTGAGGCCGTTGTCAAGTGTTCTTCTCCACGTGTTTCTGGGACGGCCTCTTCCTCGCTTGGCTCCTTTAGGTGTCCAATGCATAGCCATTTTTGGGATACGTTGCTACGACATACGCAACATGTGACCGATCAATCGAAGTCTACGCCATGCCACAATCACGTGGAGGCTATTCGTACCAGAGCGGCGCAGAACTTCCTCATTCGTGACATGATCCGTGTACCGTATCATCATGATCCTTCGCAGACATGTGGTGGAAAGCATCCATCTTTTTGGCTAAACTCGCCATATATTTCCATGCTTCGCTTGAGTGAATTGCGGTAGGGATCACAGTGGAAGAATACCGGCGGATCTCGATGTTCGAGATATTGACGATAGTGTCCATATTGGCTGGAGTCTCTTGAACACATCTGTTGCTTTTGCATTCCGGCTACGAACTTCTGTTTTGATATCGCCATCATGGGTTGTCTACTCCCGAGATAAGTAAACTTGTCGACGTTTTCCATCAATGCATCCTTTACATTGACCTTCACCTGCAAGTTTGCCGACTGACATGGCTTTCAACTTACTGGCGTTACCCAATCATTGAGCGTATCGGTGACCTTTTGCTATCCGTCTTTGTCTTCGATGAGTGTCTTCAATGAGTGCGATGTCATCCGCGAAATCCAGATTAGTGAACCTTTCATCGTTAAACCAAAGTACGCCTACCGCTGTTTGTTGTGTTGTTTCCCTCATGACAAAATCCAGGCAGAGAACAGCAATGGCGGAAGGATGCACCCTTGCCGTACTCCTGTAACGATTCTGAAAAATGAGGTATTACCTGTATCCGTCTTTACACAACATGAAGAGTTACGGGACAGATTCTTGAATAAGCGAATAAAAGGCCTCGGTATGACGTACATTCTGAGTACTTCCCATAATGATTCACGGTGTGCGCTATCGAACACCTTTCTGAAGTCCACGAGATTGTTGAAGAGTAGATGCTTAAACTCAATGCGTTGCTCGACAATGTTACGAAGAGTGAATATTTGTTCACAACACGATCTTTCTTTTCTGAACCCAGCCTGTTCTTCTCTTACGTGGCCATCTATTGCATCACGGGGTCGTCTTAATAGTATAACGCAAAATGCTTTTCCAGGAACCGAAGGAAGTGGGATACCCCCCAAGTTTCCACAATCCGCCAAATTTCCTTTTTTAGGTAACTTCCCAATCACTCCTTTCCTCCATTCCTCTGGGACCTCTCCACCATTCCAGCAACGGCTATACAATTTTGCGAGCTTCTTCACCATCATGCTGAAACCTGCCTTTAACAATTCCGGTTAAGGATGCTTCGAAGATGTTCGAGCCATCTTTTTTTCTGTTCATCTGTGCACAAAAGGACTTTGCAATACTGTCCTCGATAGGCAAATTGATCTTGTTCGAACTTCCTATCAATTCATTGACAATGCGGTGGTTTTCGAGTCACCACGCCCTGCAGCATGCTGAGCTTCTGCTCCTTTCTGCGAAAACCAGGGCTGTTTTATCTAGGCGACAGGACCTCTTCGCGTTGCGATCCAGTTCAGCATATTTACTAGGTGCTTCATCGAGCTCGTCTTCATTCTACTCTTTTTTCTCCGAGGCTTCCAATGTTTCCTTTCACCTATCTTCTCCCAGGTGATTTCTTGAATCCATTGCTCTTTTCGTTTCACGCGTCTTCGTCCGACCACTTTCTGAGCACAGTCCTGCATGGCTCGTTTGACGGATGTCCACTCTTCTTCCAAGGTACACACCTCCTCCGAAACCGCAAATTGATTTCGTAACTCCAGAGGAAAGCTTGCATTGGTGGCCGGACCCTTCAGCTTCTCCACTGCAAATGATCTAGCTTGTCTGAAGCTTTGTCTTTCTTCTCCTGCCTCTTCAGCTTGAGTTTGATTGACGCCCCCACCGAGTGATGATCTGAACCCACGTCAGCGCCACGGAATACCCGAACATCCCGAAGAGACGTTCTCCACTACTTGCTTATGCAAATATAGTCAATCTCGTTCCTTGTTTCCCCATCGGGCGAACCCCAGGTCTCCTTATGGCTCCGTTTGTGTTGGAAGAGCGTATTTCCAACACACAGTGCATTCTGCTCGCAGAACAAGGCTAGACGCTCGCCATTTTTACTAAGATGCTTACAAAAAGCGAACGGCCCAATTGCTCGCTCGAGACCAGTTCGGACTTGACTTAGGGTCGCATTGAAATCTACAATGATAAGTTTCAGATCCCGTCTCGCTATGTCATCAACAATGTGCTAAATTTGCTCATAGAAGCTGTCTTTCAATTCCTCACTCGTGTCCTTCGTAGGTGGATATACCTGAACGACTGTGATGCGGGTGTACCTTGTTACAAATCGCGCAGTGATTATCCTGGGATATTTTTGAGGATATTTTCCTCATTCAAAATCGATATCTTGATTAGCCCACCGAATGGAACACAGGAAGTGACGACATTGACACTCAGAAGGGGCCTAATTCGCCAACGGCGTTACTTCAGCATTCGCAAACGTTGTGCGCTGGGTCCAATATCCTCGGTGGATCTTTGGTTCCTCGACGGGTGTGGGGAATGTGTCGGGATTGTGGGTAGTTAGTGACAGGAAACATAACAGCTGAAGAAGACTCCTGAAGAGTAGGGGGTCTGAACCACTGAAATAGGTACGCTTTCAGCCTAAACCTCAAAGCCTTTACACTAATGAGTGATGTAGTGTGAGACGGGATCATAGATTGTTTGTGACAAAAAGTGGTAGCAACTGATAAGGGCTGATTTGGAGCTCTGAAAGGAAAGAGCCATGGAATCTCTTACGTACTCCGCGACATCAGGGGAAGCTTATTACTTTGACGGATAACGTTGGGTGTGGCGGGATCGTAGTTGGTTGGTGACAGGAAATTGAAACAACTGTTAAGCGCTTGGTGATGAGGAGCATTAGGAGGGGGCGCCAACGGATTTATTGCGCCTTTCGTGTATTCTGAGTAATCTCTGCTCTGTGCTCTTTGCTTGGTGACGTGGGATTTGACTGGATCGCAGATAATAGTGTGAATGTCAGAATGTTATAAAAGTTGACGAAAGCTGTTGAGGCACTTTAAGGAGAAAAGTTGCTAACAGGGAGATCGATAAGGAGAAAAGACGCTAACAGGGAGATCGATTGCTCTGGATTTCCACTCTAAGTTCCGAGGTAGTCCACCTACCATGGGATTCAAATGGAGTCCCAGACTAATCGAAAGTTCTGAATGCTGTTCATGTATATGGGAACTATGAACGGCTTTTCGAAAAAGTTTCAGGGCTCGGAAGATGAAGATGCTCTTCGTGCATGTTGGCTAAGCATATTGATTGTGGCGTAGTCCGTATTTTTATCAGTTTTGAACTCTTAAACTGGTTCGATCCCTCTTTTCTGAATATTTGATTCTAAGTGCTTCACAAACTGTTGCAATTCTGAGTGTCAACTTACGAGAAAAGTTGCAACCAGACACCTTTGCAACAAAGTTACTGTACTCGTTGTGTCAGGACTCGTATATGGGACACTCGTCCAAACTTTTTCGTTTTCAGTTTTTCTCAAAAGGCCCATACATTTTATTTAAACAGAATTGTGACACTCGCATTCAAAAGAGACATCTTCCAAAAGATGTCAGTACCATGACTGACAATGTTGTCTTGTTATTTTTTTCTGATGCTATAGATTCTAGGCTACTTATTCAACACAATGGACCATGGAATAGGGTGGCCGCAGAAAGGCAACGATCGTGGACTTAATTTTCATGGAATTCTGATGAGCACAGGGCTAATTTTCTTCCAAGGCGAAGGTAAGAAATATTGCTATATAATATATATATATATATATATATATATATATATTACTCCATTTCTATATTACCATTACGTCTAAAACCGTGGAAATTCTACAATTTTCAGCTCTTTTATCATATCGAATGTATCGCTCCGACAGTAAAATCGTGTCGAAAACAATTCACTTCGTATTCCACTTGTTGGCCATCAGCTTTTTTACTACAGCTTTTGCTGCTATCATCATCCAAAAAAATGCCAATGTAAGTCGAACGTTTTTTTGTAAATTCAGTCAATAGCGTTAACCTGAGCTCATCAAGCTCTACGAGATGGTATTTCCATTTCAAAAAACCAAAAGGTTCAACCTGGATTAGCCTGATTTTAAGACATACTCTCGAATCTGGAAGCATTTTTTGCCGTAACTGAGGATATGGCGATGCACGTAATAAAAGTTCCAGAGCAGAAAAAAAGGGTTGCCAAATCGAACCAGAGTAGGCGTTTCCTTGATTATGTAATGTTAAATATCAGTTTGTCGCAAATCAAATACTATTTACTTATCGAACCAAGTGACACAGGTTTAATGTAAGTTGTTTGATACCCCAGTAAGAAACGCTATACAACGATATACACTACAATTCAGGTGGAAACTTAATTTTGCTTCGTTTTGACCGTTTCTATTCTCACCAGCCGCTCTCCAAGTCCTGGACTCCAGCGTGCAGTTGACGTGATTGGTGTACCGTATAGGGCGACAAGAGAAATAGCTAACAGTTCGAAAAATTATCTGGCCTACCAACAAATGACTCTGGAACCATTCATGGTCCAGTCGCTACCATTGCGGTTCACTATTTCGCACGCACCTACCAGCATATTGTGTGTCTTCGCCCGTTGAGTACAATTCTTGAGTGATCAGGAATGAACACGGAACAAAACAAAATTTTCGTCAAGGGGTGGTTGCATATCATTGTCTAGCATTCGCTGTGGGAAATTAAACAGCGAGCTTAGCAAGCGTGTAGCTGGATTCTATCTTACATATCAAATCCGCTAAGTGTGTCTGTTTGTGTATTTCTGTGTATGAGCGTTTGTCCCACTCATAATTCATAACTCCTGCCCTAATGAACCTAGAATACTCAAATTTAGTAGGTGGGCAGGCGGCAGGGTGGGAGCACTTATAGTAATGGGTAGCAAGATTGGACTCCGTTTACAGGAGGCGGGAACGAAATGTCTGAGCAAAACTTCATAACTCCTGCTACCGTGGACCTAGAGCGTTCAAATTCTGTAAAAGCGCAGGAGACGTTGTGGGAACACTAACGATAGGTGGCAAGACTAGACTCCGCCCTTGAAGGAGGGTCGTACGTAAAAATTACTAATTTAGACCTAGGACATTCGAATTTTGCAAGTGTAGAGGCGGCAGGATTAGGACACCGATGGTAGGTGATAGAAAGTGGCTGAACTGGACCGAGCCTGTGGAGGCGTGGAGGGGTGTAGGAGTGGACCATGTATGATATGAGCATAATTTGAGTGAAAACATCCAGGTTATCCTATGGTTAGACCAGAGCTTTTGAATTTGGGGAATGCAGGTGTGGTCAACTCCAAAACAAGAACGAGGAGAGCTCTGCGTCAGTCGGGCGATCTGAGTGGTGATAAATAGAGGATAACGAATTCACCAGGGCATGTAGCGCAGTGATGTTCAGGTCCAAAGGTGCGTCGCAGGAGAACCTGCGATCTAGTCTATCAAAAAGCTCCCGCAGAGCACCGCATAGTCCAGGTTCGCTTAACGACTCCCTTCCTATCATCTAAGAATTTGATGAAACGCTCTTTCAGGTTCGAGCTTATTCTCAAAATCACGCTATTCTCGTGTGAATCTTTATTAGATTCGTGGAGTACTGCGCTGGCGAATCTTATCCGAATCATTCTGCAAACAGTCAACTTGTCATTGACAAATATAAAGCAGTAATGCGGTTTTGGATTAATCGGTGTTTATATGGGTCTGTTTCTCTGTCCGCAAGACTTTTTGAGTACGGTAAAGGTAGTGGTATAGAAAATTTAGCACAAACGTATAGTAATAGTCAGGTAAAAATTAAATTCTTTGGGCGTAATTAATCTAATCTGGGGGATGTGCCCTCTTATTTGACCACCGCTCAGATTTAGCGTATTGAACGCGTTTGAATCCGTGATCATACGTATAAGATGGTGCCCCACTTGCCACTAACCACTTCTGTCCCCTTAGCAGTTAGAATAAGCTCAAAAGGCAGTGTTTAACTACGTGCATTAATTTAATTCAAATCACTGCGCATAATATCGATTCACGGCGCGATCAAATGATCATAACCTAGCTCTGACTGTACTAGAGAAATAAATAAGGGATACACGTAATAGGGTGAGTACTTCAACCCTGTGAGTCCCTTCTACACTGATGACGTAGGGTGTCTAAAGGTCTCGTATGTAATTCAGAACTATGCTGTCTTATGTTATGATTGTCAGGTTGTTGACGGTAGAATAAGTTTTGTGGCAACGGATATCAACATAGAAACAATACGTGGTGTCTCTGAGGTGGGAATTTTGAGGCGTTCTCATCTTGATCTGTAGTAAAAAATGAAATGAACTACGTTCTCGCCATGGGAAACCGACTTTGATCGGTCCTTCCTATTGCATTTTTCACTCACTCTTCGTCAATCTACCCTAAATATTATCCCGTCTAACCTTATAAAACCCTAAAATGTCATGTGTCACTTTTTGTACGTTATCTGCGATCCACTCGCATCCGTATTACACGCGAAGTGACAATGCTCCGTTACCAAAGAGGAGGTGATTCAGTTCATCCATCCGTGGTACAGACTTTGACTGGTCTCGATCACATTGCTTGTCAGTTATTTTTGTTGATTTACTTCGTCTTGTCCTATGAATCGTATCAAAATATCAGTGCTACATCCTGTAACTCGAAAGAGCCACAAACTAGTGACTTCTCGTAATCCTTTGTTAATCCTTATCAGCTGTTATTATTTTCTGGAATCCGTTATCTGCCGTCCAGTCTTACCCCATATCACATACTACTCCATCAATGCCCGGGAGGGCGTTACACACCCAGTTGTTCTCGCTATTCGTAACCTTTTCAGCCCCTATTACCAACAATCTTCTTAACTCTAATTTTTCCCGACCATCCATTGTCGCTTTACACCCCACATTACCTATCCAAGTACCAGAGCTCCACTACTAACCCTGATTGTAGCTCTTCCCTTCTGAAGCTCCTTATCAGATCCTATCGACTATTATCATTTCCTGTCGTCCACCTTGAAGGATCTCATCCCGCCTCCTGAGTAGTTTTCGAATTTAAACTTTCTAAGTCTCCAGGGACGAAAGATAGAATTTCAGTTTCCACACACACCTAAGGCTCCCTATCATCAACTTTCAGTCGATATCAGCAATCCAGTCTTCTTGGTCTTTTCCAGATATGAACGCCTGAGATCCAGGGACACATAGGGCCCATTTTTGTTACCGTCTTCGGCATATGGTTACCTATGAGTAGTTTACCAACATCTGACATAAAAGCTGAGTAGACTGTAGAGACTAGCCAAGCTCTTGCCTTAACCAATGTGCAGAACACCCACCGCACCCGCAAATTCCAGTACGTGCCCCCGAGGGGATAAAACATACTTATAAACTGGCTTCGCACAGCCCTCAGTTAACGGTTTTTCGTGGATGAATAGAACAGTAGTGAAAAATGCCAGATTGTTAGTATTCAGATAAGTTCAATCGCAGTGATATTAAAGTTGAGGGAAAAATGGCCTTCTAATGAACCCTGAACAGTTACTCTTCTGCACTTTCTACTTCACAATGTATACTTAGGCATTAGAACGATAATATAGCATCGGAAACTACCCATCACAATAAAATGATTCCTCTCACATGCTCTTGCTGTTCTGGATTGTAAGTCGGATGAATGCTTGTTCCGAAAGAGTTATATAATTACAATTTAAATTTACCGTGAATTTTGCTCTATGCCTATTGTAATAGAGTCAAGCCTTCACTATCAACATGACTTAGCTCCAGGATTTCGATACAACGAGCTGAGAAAAGTACTTCTAGAGCATTCTGTATTTAGGGCTGGAGCCACTTCACCTCTGTGCACAGTTGGATCGGTCTAGGAGTAATGTCTGTTTATACTATCCAGGTTATTTCTACGATTATTTTTATGCNTTTTTTCGATACTCTCAACAAAGCGCTTGTCAAGGCAACCATGATTGTCACGAAAATTCGGGATAGTTGTTTTTTTCACATTATTTTTCAGGTGGCTAGATGCTCTTCACACTGTCACTTCACCGAAATCGGCTAGCTGCATTTGCGGCTACCCGATTTCGTTGAAGTGGAAGTATGAAGAGCACCTGCCAAGAGGCTGGTGGCGAGCAGCGACGTGCGTTGCCCACGATGCCCTATGGCCACTTTTTAGTGGCACTGAGATGAGGGACCTGAATGTTGTCCAGGATAAATTCGTAATCTGCTTCAAATGAAAGGAAAATACTGTGAACGGGAATATGTTTATTAAAAGAACTCGAAAACTGTTTCTGTGTCATTCAAAAAGAGACCGTCTACTGATCTTGTCGAAGAATGTTGCGAACATGCACCTTCTAAATGTTCTAGGTGAACCGCCAGCGGATTGTTCGTAATTTTTTTCAGTTTCTGTTCGGTTTCATCAATTTCGTTATACCGAATATCAGCGACGATGTGCGAAGAAAATTTCTGCCCATTCACCAGATCGTGGGATCGTTCTCATTCGCAGCTTCCATTGTACAAGCAACGATCGGATACATCCAATACAATTCTCTTTTCAAATGTCCGGATAGGTGAGGCAGATATTACACAGTAGCGCTTAATAAAGACATATTTGATACCATTCATAAATCGGAAGGAAATTCTTACCGAATCTTTCTGCTGGCAAGGAAATTGAAGGTTAGAGGTGATAGACCACCAGTAATGGGTGCTAAATGCATTATTGTGTTAGCAATGCGCTAGCCATGGGATGCATGTCGTTTGGCGAGGTGTATGACGAGGTTCAGCCTGTAGCTAGAAATAACCTTCCTCAGGAAGAAGCCAAAGCCCGGACATTAGGGTCCATACGCAACAGTGGTAATGGTCGCTTTTCCTATTAACATGAATCCCTGAGATAATCTTTCGGATTAATCTTCCTAATCTCTGTAAATCTGATTTCACACAAATATGAACATGGGATACTCTCAGAAGTGGAAAAAGTTGCTATGCTGTACTGGCTACCGTCAAACTGTGAATAACTAGTATAGTTTACGTTATCAGAACTGGATGCTATGCTGGATGATTAGTGCACAAGGGCCTGAATATTTTGCATTATAACAATTTTTCTTTCCTTTTCTTTTGAAAGTTTTGTTTCTTTTGAAAGCACATTTTCTAGGAAACTTCTATTTAGCTGTTGACGTCATCTTTATAATTTCATCGCCTTTTACTAGATCGATGAGAAAGCGTGGAACGCCTAATGACCCTAGAGTATTAACATTTTATCAGGGTCACTCCGTACCTGAGTGCGAAGCACTTCCACTGCAGGACCATGAGCTGG